GATGATGAGGAAAACAACAATGCACGCCCTTCCGCCATAAACAAAAACAACAACAATGGAGACCGATGCTCCACAACCTCTACTTCATTCTCTGTTATCTTCATTATTCAGTCCCTCTCGAATCAGCTATTAAAGGTAATTAAGCGATTCATCAAGTCAGTTTCAATTACTGGGAGCTTGACAGCTGCAGATTAGAATCGGTGGGGGTGAGGGGAGAGACAGAGCGAGAGGTGGAAGTATCAAAAAGTAAAGAGGGGAGAAGTAATAACAGTTTAGGCGGTATCAAGACGGGCAAAACGCTCTCCTGGATGTCAAGTGCTGGTGGAGCCACGTAACCATCCAGCAGGTCTAGTCTGTCTCCGTGGATCAACAGGCGTCATCACCACCACCCACTCATTCAACATGTGCTCAGGCTCCAGCCGGAGACCTCTGATGCTAAATCAGCCACACTGTCATTACTCTGTCATGACTGGAAGAACTGTAATATTAAAGTTTATGATGAATAAAAGGGCTCTCATGTAATCATACCACATACAGTGCGAGGAATAAATTTGCTGGCTGACACAGAGTGCCCACTTGTAATAAAGCTCACATGTACTAAAGAATCATAAAATGTTCTCACTGGTACACCTAATTTATGAACACCAGTCACCGGCTCTGGGCTGAATTTAGGTGTGTGTTGTAGCTAAGAGCGAGCTGGGATGTGAACCCATCAGGCGGGACAAAGCACAGCTTGGATTTATGCTTGACCGATTAACTCTACACTCTGCTTGCACATTTTTAGATGTTAGGTTAAGAAATAATTCATTTGAAGGAGACTATCATGGCTCTTAGCTGTCCATTAGTGTCTGGTTTACCACCATCTTAATGGCCTTTATAAGTCATCCAGCTCTGGATGTAACTGCTGGACTAAATATTGAACAACTGCTGATTTATCGTTCTAGGATACCAAAAATCCAAAATAAGACACTTAAATCCTGTAAAGCCATCTCTAAGTTTATTGTAGGACACATCACAGAGTCTACAACAAGCTATTTTGCTTTAATTTAGTTGTAAAATGATGAATTTTAAAGCAGACATTATTTATTTTTTCATACAAAATGTAATCAAATTTTCACTTTTCAAAGTGGTTAAAGGTGTGGAACACTCTTTTAATCAATACATTTGCAGTGGTCTCTAGTAGGAATGAATGCCTTGTAAGTCGTACTCTAAGGAAACAAAGCTATGGTGCACCTGTTTCAGAAACTAGAAGTGAGCCACATCAGAGCTGAGCTTCATAGCTAGTTCAGAGTTGAGCTGAAGACGGCTGGTTTCGGAGTCTTATTTCCTGATATTTGGACATCTAACCTCTGATTGGCTAACAGCAACACAACTCTACCACTGACTGAGTTTGCTTTGCAACGTTGACTTTTTTTCTCCACAAATAACAAATGCCTGAAGGAGTTTTGCCATGTGGTGAAGTTGCTAATGCTAATGGTTAGCTTCTTCTAGCCGAGACATTCTCTGCTGTTTCCTGGAAGCTAAACCAACAACAGCCTTCCCCGTCGTGAGTCAAGATGGATGAGTCCATGCATGTTAAGTGACAGTGTGACGTAGATCTGTCAGGCTTTTTCTAGAGTTTCACCGTCTATATTCTATTAGAAGCTAATGCAGGAGACCGATGTAGGAGACTATTTTCATGCATGAAAAACTCAGTTTTTCAGTGTTTTACACCTTTGTATTCTGTCTTAATTTAAATGAAATTGTATACTTTCTTAATTTATGATTTATTCTAAACTAATGTAAAAATACATATTAGATTGTGCAAACATATTTTTATGGTAATATTGCTCTGAAGTGTTGCAAATTATAATCTTACTTATTTAACTGTTTTTTTTCCCACTAAATGTCACCAATGCATTCTCTACATACAAACATCAGCGTACTGATTATATCTCTTAAAGCTACCATAAACATCTAAGGTCTTCTTGGTCATAAACATCTCTGAGATAGTAAACACGAAGAATACAAATCGTCACTGTAAACATTCTGTAAATACCAGCAGGAAATGGAGACTATTGTTGCACATAGGAAAATAATAGCACACCACGCTGAACTTTACATTTCTGACACAATTATCTAAATTCCGTTCAACAGTTGCGTCTCTTTTCCTGTTATTTTAGCAGGTAAGGTCCAAGTTAGCAAATACCATAAAGGCACAAATCAGCAACCATTTACTTCCATTCTGCACAATTTCACAATTCGATGAGCAGGAGTTTCACGGTCTCTTAGGATACAAAGCTAGAATAGCTTGTGTTTAACAGTAAAGACCAAAGAGGAATCCCACAGGAAGACATGCATGCACATGTTTAAAGTAGACTTCCATCTGGATGGAAATGATCACAACCTCAATCAAAAGATCAGATCAAATGTGCAAGATTAAAATGAGCGAAATATGCCTGAAAAGGCAGTGTTTGTTTGTTTGTTTGTTTGAACCAACTATCTGTGTGCAGAGCAATAGTGGAGACCCCAAAGAGCATAGTAAAAATAAAAAGACCCAGAAAATAATCCACAATGCTTAATAGATTTGTTTCAATATGGAGACGGCAAAAAGAACAGCTCAGAGCTGCTTGCACTCAATGGTGTCCAAATGTTTTTGACTATAACCCAAAAATAGAATTAGCCAAAACTTGAGTCCTAACTGGTTTACATTGGCACTGACTTTCTAAAATAAGGCACAATGACCAAACAAATACATTGCATGTTTCAACATTACATTTGTTTGTACATTACATTTTTCATAACAATTATGATGCAAAATGCAACTAGAAATCATTTTTAGATTATTTTTCATTTCTAAAGTTTATCTGAAAACACCTTGCTTGCCCAGCTATCCCATATATGTAAATATATAGTGTGGCCACAACCCAAAGGGAAAGTTCTGTCGAGTTCAAGCTATTGGACAGCAAACATTGTGACATATTCACCACCAGGAATGTTAGTCAAAGGGGCAGTCCACCACACACTGTCAAAGAAGACACAAATACATCCTTTTTCTAAATAAAGGACTTGTGTCTATCTACTCTTGACTAAAAGAAAAGTCATAGTCTTAATAGTCCAAAGTTGTTGCCAAAGCAGTTTCAAATGAGCCGTCGCTGTCGTAGTAATTCTGCTACATCGGATCAACCAATAGAGGGCTGTGATTGGCCCACCAAACCAATAGAGGGCTGTGATTGCCATGCCACCAGACTGGCCAGAGCTGTAGAGGTTCCAATGGAGCGTGGTTAGACTGACATGCAGAGCAAAATCATGTTGCTTCTGCTACAGTTCATCTAGATTTCTAGGCTAGAAAACCCCTGCTTGAACCCATGTTTGGGTCATGACCTTTACTTTGGGAACAACTGGGAAACACGTGCTTTTAAGATATTTTCAGTCATTCCACAGTCATTTCGGGTCAGAAAGATCATCACATCTCTGTCTCTACTTCTCTCAGGGCAGTGTCCCTTGTTTATTTTGATGACACCTAATTGTGTCCCCAGGGCTACAGCAGTCCTGATGTGAAGTTTAGTGCACACACAAAGGTGATGGGCCTCATTAGTGATGACTACAGAGAGGTGGTGGGGCTGCTGGTGGGCTGGTGCAGAGTCAACATTCTGACCCTGATTGTGGACAAAACCGAGATCATTGTTGACTTAAGGAAGAAGCAGCCAAGACACACGTTACGTCTCATCAACATCACAGCTGTGGAGGTGATCAGCAGCATCAATATATATGTGAGGGGAAGGTTAAAGACAGTGGGACTTCTATTCCCTCTGTTCAGGACATTGCACTGAAGCGCTGCGTGCCCTGAGCACTGGCATATTGATGGACCAACGGTTGGTGTGAATTGAAGTCACTAGAACCCAAAGACAGGTGCTGCCATGTCTTGTGTTTGGAACAATGGCGTTTTTTAAGGATCAAATACCTAATTCCAGAAAAGCATCAAAGAAAAAAATGAATATTTGAACATAGAGCAGCAAGGAAAGACACACATTAAACAGAAAAAATCAACGCTTGGCAAAAACAATCTTATTCCTTAGTTTCATTTGTTTACACAGAAGAAAATTTACGATGGAGCCAGCCAGGGCTGGCACATCAACTTCCGGTTACTTCAACTTCCATATTTCTTTCCTGCATCTAGATTTTTTACAGTCATTGGTCCAGAGCCAGAAACATCATCAGTGACCCTTCACCATGAACTTTTTTCCTTGCTTGGCTCATGGGAAAGGGTTTCACAGCGTCTGGTGCAATACCTTTAGGATCTGTACTGTTCTAGTCTAAATAACAATATGCTGCTCATGCTGGATACCACATGTTAGATGTAGGTCACCATGGGTTTATTTTTACACTGGACACCACGTCCCTTTAGTACTTCCATGTGGTTGTTTTAAATTCGCCCGATCACTTCTTTATTACTTCTCCTTCTCGTTGTGTCTTATAGTACTTTGCTGCTTTATACATGTGCTGAGCCAAGTGCACCAAAATATTTCTTCCATGTACACATGTAGGTAAACCACATTCAAGTTTATCTAAACTCATCTGTCCATTTCAGCTAAAAATGATTTTATTAGAGCACTGAATGGAATTTAAAGTTGGAATCTTTTACACTTTCTGGTATTTCTAAGTTTAGTTTTGCTTTTTTCTATACCCGAGTAAGCCTATATTAGAGTTCTTGGTGATTCTGCATTGCTGACAGAATCCTGCATAATTATCTGTTTTGTATGCCAGGACTGGGATGAAGACGTACCCAGCTGTTGACCTCACATTGATTGGGATGAGCAATAATCTCTAATGACTACAGATGGAAATGAGTGCAGCTAATTGATGTGTGGACTGAGCTTGTAAACTACTAGTTTAAGGATAAGCACACTGTTTTTCAGAACTTTCTGTGATCATTGGAAAAAATACTTTAACCAGAGAATTTTGAGTTAGGTGTGAATAGTATTGACTTACTAACAATCATATCTTATGCCCTTACGTACCTAAGTTGGAAGAGGCCCTTCCCTCTGCAGCCCTGTCCTTCAGTCCTTCAGCGATAGACAGCTGTTGTTCGTGGTACTGCTTGGCTCTCTCCAAGTCCTGCATGCAGCGGGCGGCATGACCAAGCCCTGCGTAGGCTCTCATTTCAATGGGCTTTTCCTCCAGTTCCTGGGCAAGCTCCAAAACATGAGTGTGGTAGGACATAGCCTTGTCAAAGTTACGATGGTAGTGGTAGGCACTACCGAGGTTGCTATAGGCTCGGGCTTCCTCTCGTTTGTTTTCCAGGGCCTTGGCAATGCCCAAATGTTGTTCATGACATTGAACAGCATTTTCAAAGTCTCCCATGGCAATGTAGACTGCTCCCATGTTTCCCAGCTCACGGGCTTCAGACAGCTGATCCTTGGACTGCTTGGCCAGGAGGACACACTGTTTATGACTGGCGAGGGCGTTGGGATAGTCCCCTATGGCTGTGTACACATGACCCAAGCTACTCAGTGCCATCGAAGCAGCCTGCAGAAACACAGGTGGAGAAAGAGGCGCACAAATAAGAAAAACAGAAAAATCAAAGAATCTTGTTAATTAAACCAACTTTCCATCAAAAGTGAGTAATTTTCTTGGCTTTGCATCAGATGTCTAACCTTTTACAAAATTGCCCTTTAACCAAAAGAAATGTGCAACAAATGCTGAAAGAAAAAAAAAACAGTAAAGAGAAATTCCAAAGTCTCTAGGAGCCCTAATACCCAGAGACCGAACAACAAGGCAAAGCTGATTTGATTTTGTCTGTGCTGAGAAAGGAGGGGGGGTAAAGTGTGATGCAGATCGGCACAGCAGCAGGCTTGTTTTAATGCAGTCAGTTTGCCCACTGCAATCATGCCTCATGGCGTGCCACCACAAATGGAACAAAGACTCTGCTAATCAGGCGGGAGAGAAGGGAGGTTTCAGCTTCACACCAAAGCTGCGGGGGGCAGCTGACTGGTGACAAGGCTTTTCAAGCTGAAAAATACTCAGAAATAATATTCTGAATACCGTAATCCACTCAATCCACCATTTTCTCAACCAGCGTCCACACGAGAAAGCTACACCACCAAGAAAGCTGCCTAAACCTGAAAGGTGAGACAACTACAGATGACTGGAGAGGGATCAGAAAATGTGGTCCTGACTGCTCATGTGACACATTCTCTCCAGGCTTATTACCTGCTTATATAGAGAATGAACAGTTGGGAATGAGGGTCAGTTGTCTTTGCGTGAACAGATGTTCAATTAATCACGCAGGGGCGAATAATAAATCATATCCTTCCCCCATGTCCCACTCTGCATCCTCCAGCCAGGAAGGTGCTTGACGGTGGCCAGGACAGAGGTGAGCCAGCGTGACAGCGAAGGCTACAATAACTTGATTAAGATATTCATGGAAGCACTTTTAAATAGAGACAAGGTTTCAAGTTTCCACTCATACTTGTGTTCGACTGATTTATCTATTATTTCAAAGAATAAATCAAATTAAAACCTGGATCCAAAATTTACAAAAGGAAAGGAAAAAAAGGAAGGTTTGAATAAATGAAGCAAAAGGCAATATTGGAGACACACATGCCTCTGTGTTTGGACACTCTCGGAAATGCCTGTGAAGACACAATCTTCTCTTTGTCTTTTTGAATATTCTTCTAAATGATGGAATACACAAAGACTCATCCTTCCTTCATTTTAGCTGCTGATGTCTGGAACCAATTACCTGCTGACATAAGGACTTCCAGCAGTTTGCTCAAGTTTAAAGACTCGACAAGGCATTATACGAGCTCGGGGAGGCAATTATCCTCCGTCACAACTGTTGCTGTTTCATGTTCCCAGATAGCCTATCTAGAGCCGCTCAATTACATGTGCCTTTTGAAGCTTCGCTCCATCTCGTCAACTCAAACTTCCACTTTCTGAGCAGAAAACAGAGAATTCCTCATCGTCCGCCTTCCTTCAAGCACAGTAGGAGGCAACAAGAGGGAACGAGAGGGGGAGGGCCAAATCTACTCCAGTTGAGATGAGTTGCTCTTGTGATCAGTGTCCCTCTAAAGTGAGACTGCAACGCTGCATTTTCTCCTCAGATGGGAGCCAAGATAGGCAGATAATGAGGAGCCAGCCTTGCCAGTAACCGAGGATGCACTGTGTTTGGCTCAGGAAGGGAAGACTGGGACCATATGCATCTCACTCCCCCCTGACCATTTCCCCCATCACAGCTCATTTTGACTTGCCACCAATTTAGCAAAAAAACACTTTTTATCTGGAGGGAAAAAATGCCCACGGATGCATAATTTCTACCAAATTCAATCATATTCTGTTTCATTTTTTTGCCTAGCTTCCCCCCCATCCAAGTCTAAATCCAAATATGCCAATCTGTATGTGTTTACCCTTCTCCAGATTTGTGGTTATTGCATTAACGATCTCCAATTTAAGACTGCTATTAGTCACCCTATGGTGTATTTTTTTCAAATGGCTTTCTTATGAAAGAAAAACTATTTTCAGTGAGAAATTTTGAAAAATGCATGATGAAAGAGGTGAGATGAAATGATAGATTAGCGCTCAGAATTTTTCGATTCTGTCAACTTTGTTCCGTATCTTTTCTCTGACAAGGACACCAGTGTGGGACTTCTTGTTGATTTATCTTCGTAAGCCTTAACTACAAATATTTTCTCCTGCAGCCCTTTCAAAGCACATGGTAACAAGTCATTTCACTTAGCATAATTGGCCCCTTATGTCATGCAGCAGAGCTTCTGAGGTCCAAGGACGGTGGTTCTGTGTGAGTTCTGTGACTCAGAGACCCTAGTGTGTGTTTTTCTTCTCTTCTCATGGGGCGGAGGAGAGCTGCCCACAGCTTCTCTGTGGTTTTGCCTCACCTCGCAGCTGTGTGACCATGTCTTTGAAAGTCCTCCTTTATTCTACTTTGGACCTTTGAGGTCTGGTGTTCTCCAAACAACCAAGGCTATCATCATAGGCTGGCTTGGATTAGGGGACAAGGCTGGTTGTCATGGAGATCTTAGCAGCTGGCTTAGAACTGAACTTGCAAATGAGTCGACTTTGAAGAAAGCCCAAAACGTTGCAGTGGAGCCTCCCTCGGAATGACCAGATCAGGCTAAAGGAAAACCAGGCAGGTGTATCAGCAAGCATCCACTGCTTTGATAGCAAACGCATAGAAACATTCTTATCAGTAGTAATAGAAATTCATTTTTATAATTATGCACAATACATTTTAAAATGATTAAAAAGTGGTCCAGAATTGTTTTTATAAATTATATGAATTAAGGCTGTTATACTGAATCTGCAAACAAGCTAGGTTTTGAATGCAAACATGGTCAAGGAACACACCTCTCCCATCAGGTATCTGCCGGAACCAGAAACCAGAGATGCTGGATGAAACGAGATAGTGCTAAACACCAGTCACCATTTTCTAGGTCCAAATATGGTTTGTTGTTCATGATTTCAAAAGGTGTTTTTCTTTTTTGGACTACCGTAGTTTGTCTTAAAGTTGAAGTGGTAGCAGCCGACTGTTTCTCCTTCTCTGATATTATTGAGTGGAGAACCTCTCACACCAGTGGTGTTTTGTTACTAAATACACAAGTGTGTAATGAGTGGAGGACCCAGAGAAATGGTGAAGCACGGCGGTCCGGTGAGACTGACAGCCAGATGGTCTAATAGTCGCTTTAGTTGAGAAAACCACTTTATTAAATTTCTTTTTCTTTTCTTTTTTAAAATCTCCCTAATTAATTATATATAATGTGTGTGTGTGTGTGTGTGTGTGTGTGTGTGTGTGTGTGTGTGTGTGTGTGTATATATATATATATATATATATATATAGTATAAATACTTAACTCAAGAACAAAAAAAAACATGAAAAACAAAGAATAAAAAATAAATGACAAAAAAATATTGGAAAAAATGGGAAAAGCAAAAACTGAGATCAAAAGATGTGAGAAAAGGGAAAAAGAAAATGAACAAGAAAAGGCAATCAGTTGATCCTGGGAAAAGCAGAAATCGGCAAAAAGAGAAGAACGAAGATAAAGCAGGCGTTTGCTAGCTGTACAAATTAAACGCCGTCCACCTAGGGGGCAGCATCTAACCTATAAGATTCCACCCAATTGGCCAAATGGGTGAAGACCTCTATTTCATTTGTCAAAAACTTCATGTTTATATTTAATTGACAAAATGCATTATGTGTAGCAAACATCTGAGCTGACCATTCATTGCGGTAATTCTGTTCTTTGTGATATGTGTATTGTATTGTGATATCACGATGATGAAACATTTGATGATGATGATGATGCTGATACAGCCCTAGTTAGAACGTTGTTAGATTTGTTTTTCAAATTTGCCATTATAGCTTTAATGCACGATCACAGAAATATCTGACAAAACAAATTATTTCTGATATAACCATATGAGCAAAAGCGATAATGACAAGATTGAGGTACTTGGATGTCTCAGTTGCCCTCAGTTCAAACAACAAGCTGCAGAAAATAAACCTGGGCAACCCTCACTTGAGTAAAGTGCTGTAAATGGGATTAAATGGAAGGAGAGAGGAGTGGATTGCTCTTGTAAAAAGGAAATAGACAGCAGGTTTAATTCTATTACTGAACAGGTGGGAACACACTCACTGTTCACCGAACTGAAACAAGCTTTAAACACTGAACCTGCAATGCTTATGGTTCTTTCAAGGAAGTCAAAAAATTTATCTGGATAGTTTAAGATTCTTGACCACAAAACCCACATGGTAACATCATGCTAGAAAAGTAATAGATGCAACAATAGTATTTTATTAAATCTGTCACAATTTATGAGTGTTTCAATGCATACACTACAACTTTTATTAATAGTTTGTGTATATGTTTCTATGGTATTCTAACCGTGCAAGTACAACATTTCATAACACAACAAAGCTTTGCAAATCCATAACTGGTAGAACATCATTTAGCAGAGTTTGTTTCACTGAAACACACTTTAAAAATGTGAGGTCATGCGCCGGTTTGCCTTCATGTTTGTGTTCCGAGTAAAGACCTCACCTACAGATGGCCATTTGGGTCAAAAATTCCTGGGAAAGAAGAGGGAAATGTGCAAAACAACAACGTTTATGAATAGTGAAAGTTTTGTAACCTTTTCTTGCAAAGTAGTAAATGCATTTTGTCCTCGCAGGCTCCCGTAGAAGGGAACATGGAGTCTAATAAGGCGCCACCCAGAGACTTAGGCCCAATCTCAATACTCGCACTGCGTCCTGCAGTCTTCAGCAAAGTGCACTTGAAAGTGTGCTGTAAGGCTTCAAGTGCATAGTACACAAGTGTGCAAATAATTGCCAAATTGAGACAGGGAGTATTGCGTCATCGATCGCAACGCATGTCGGGATGCTGGTCGCTGTGAAACTTTTTCCAAAAACCTTTATTGACAACTTTCAAACAACAAAGCAATTATTTGAAATAAATGTAACCATTGCTACTTTGTCTAAAACATTCAGAGCATCAACTAATTGTCCTAAGATGAAC